TTTTTTGTGAAGAGCATTGATCAATTGTTCGTTAGCTGTTAATTTCCAATTGGGTAAGAATTTGATTTGAACCATGGGATTCCATGATGTTGGGGTTACAGAGGATGGAGTGAAAAAACAATTTAAAAAAAAAAATAGTTCATGAGTACACCACGAGACTTTTTTTTATTGGATTATGGGTATATTTGTAAATTTTTTGTGGTGTATTTATCAATAATGTATTTTAATTGTGGTGTGATTATAATGTGGTGTGATAAGTAAGTTTTGTGGTGGTAATATAATTACCCATTTCAGATTTATTCATTATAGATTTGTTTCTTTATTTGATGAACACGTACACTTTATTAGCCTATTTTTCTCAATATTTGCACAAATTTTTTTATTATACATACTTATTACAATACCCAATTTATTACCATCTATTCACCCCTAACATTTAAGCGTTCTTAAGCTAACTATTCCACTTTGTAAATTGACTGTAGTGATCCGAATTAATATTTAATTTGCGAGAGTTGTTGGTAAATACTCTAAAGACTCCTTTGTAAAATGTTAAATAAACATATACAAATTTACGAGCAAAAACAAAAAAAAAAAAAAAATTGAAATAGAACAAGCTAATTTCATTTCGACAACAAAATACAAGGTAACGTGTTTGATTATTACATGATAAAAAGCAAATTATGGAGCTAAATGTCAATAGCTCCCCTTACCACGTTGTAATTAAATCATTTATGCTTGTTATAGCTTGCACGATCCCTTCCACGCTCCTTCTCCCTTGAACCTTTGGAGCGCCGAGGCTCCTCCTCGTCCCTCTCCGTGGCTAGCGGTGGAGACGAGGTGTACTTTGACGGCCTTCTCTTGAAATGCCTATCATCATCACTGCTCTCATAATCTACAGCACTGGCGGAAGCAGCTGTTGCTGCCGTCTTCCTTGAACCCGATACAGGCCCCTTGTGCTCTTCATGGTATCCATTAGATGCTGATGCACGGTGGTGATTCGACGAGGCACTGACCGGCGCATCAGCAGAGGAAGAAGAAAGTTTCCTTTTCTTAGTGGGTGTTGAGTCATCTCCAGGGAAGCTAATGCGAGAGAAGACACTGGCCTTTTGCTTCTTGTCAGCTGTGGAGGTGGTGGACTTGGGTCGTGCCACGGGTGGCTCTGGAGATGCCTTGGCAGTGGACAACTCAGACCAACTGTGGCGATCATCCAATGCCTTGGCAGTGGATGAATGGGGGTGATGGCGACGATCGCTGTGGCGGTGATCATCATGATAGTCACGACGATGTTGCTTGTCCTCAATCTCCTCATAGTGCTCAGATGATTTCCTCTTGGATGAAGGGCGAGGTACCTCAGGATCGCGGGAGTGACGATTAGGGGAATGTCTGTCGGATGAGTGGCCATAGAGGCGGTGTTGGTCGGAGCTTGATGGAGGGTGTATAGACTTCTGCATCAGCCACAGCAAAACAGGGGATGAGTCCACATTTACACAAGAATTTAGTTAAAATGACCAAAAAAGGGCCTAGTACAATAAAATTAAATTATTGTTATTAATACAAAAAGTGACTTTCAAAAGAAAACATTACCGACAAAAGTTACAAAAAATTGAAATTCATCTTTCTTATCTTTATTGTAACCATTTTCATTACAATTTTGCATTTTCTTCCATAAATTACATCTCTAAAATAAGGTTTATATGCACGCATTCAGCAGAACTTTCTTAGCTACCGTTAATAACATTAAATTATGGATATGGCGTCCATAAAAATAAAAATAAATACAAGTTCGTCAATTTTTTATGAAAAGAGAATTTTTCAAATCTGCCCTTGCATACAAAAATCAAGAATTCAATGCTGCCTATTGATTTAGTTTGCCTGACAATTTTTTCTTGTTATTTTATTTGTTTATTGGTGGATATGAACAAAAATTTCAACTAGGTAGTATGCACTTTCAATAAAAAAAGAATAGTGGTAAAAAATTATACGTAACCTTTGAATCACAGCAATGTCCAGTTCAGTACAAACCAATGAAATATTACGTCAATTATCTACCAAATAATACAGAGGCACAAGTATAGAGCAGAAATGGAGAACTTTGGGAGGAAAAAATTTGATAATTCAATTAGTAAGGGGTGGTGGGGATGGCTCAAAAATTGTAAAGACAGTAAACTAATTTTAATCTTCTTCAAGTGAATTCTCCTCTACATTTCCACTTGAGCTTCCATTTTGCTGCCAATAAAATGGAACCAACGAGTGTGTTAACACTCGTAAGTTCAGGATTCATTTCTCGTCCCGGTTTTTGGCAATCAAACTAAGGAATAAATCAAAAATGTAAGAAATTTGCTTGTAACTACCAAACAAACAATTTGCCCTCTCCTAATTATGGAAAGGAGAAACTGAAAAACAATCTCTTTGCAAAACGGTTGTTTTTTTGTTAGAAAATCATTCAGCCCGACTATTTCAGTGGCGGTCATGTCCTGCAAGAGTGCAAAAAAATAACATAATAATGTCTCGATAACAAATTTACATACTGATTTGGATTTCAGTGCAGAAACGTTGCCCGCGTTGCTCCTTCCTTCTCTACCATATTCACGGTCTTTAGATGACTCCCTGTGAAGCATAAAAAGGTTAAGGCTCAAGGCAAAAGTCAAACGACATACAACAAAGAAAAAGAAAATTCAATTGTGCACGAAGTATTTCCGATCAGCCATTAGACACAGAAAACAACATTCAAGCCAAACATTTTTAAGAGAATCACGTGCCACATTTGGTTGTTGTTTATAAATGGGTTTAAATTATAAATAGATAGAAATGAGTAGTATTTGTGGGTCCCTCAAAATACGTGAATAAAAAAGTGGCTTCGTGTTATAAACAGTACATAAACAAGAGCCAAACATAGGCTTATAGAGCACAATATTTTTAAATGTGATTGTTGAAACAGATCCAAAAGCCAAATAGGATCTACTTACAAACATGGCATGCCAACCTTGTTCTGAATATAGTTGAAACAAGAACAAATAAAACAAGAACATCTGCTACAATTAGAATTTTGGGCTTCCAGGTTATTACATACATCTGGCTTCCAAGAAAAGCCATAAAAGATGGTTAGTGTTATGTTTTACAGTTGTTCACGATCTTTAGACAAAAATATAGTTGTAAAAGAGTTCTAAAAGTCAATCTGTAAGTCTATCGTTTATAGTGAATACCACTGGATAGAGCCTGGAGTTTTTATCCCGAGAGCGGTTTACTCCAACAATTTCGTGGTGGTGTTTATTTTTTTGCAATATATCAACTGCAGTAATTCAACTTAGGATAGTATTGCACGTGAATTCATCTTAATAAAATTAATAATTGTGACTTGCTGTTATTAATTAACAAATTTAATTCCACATACAAGCACCGAAGCACGTATTCACCCCCACCCCCATTTCTAGTTGTTATGGGTCAAACTCGTAACTTTCAGTTAGGAATCAAATCATAAACATATTTATCAACTTCGAATCATTTGTACTCAACAGGTGTCTGCCTCAAATAAAAATATACTAGCATAAAAGATAATGTTCTAGCATGCAATATTTCAAGAAAACAATATATAAAAATATGTAAGGAGGAATATAAATTTAAAGTAAGCAAAAAATATGAATATATATAGAAGAGTTTTTTTCTTCTACCTATCAACACGTCCATCCATTTCACGCTTCCTCTTCAAATCCGCTTTGCGAGCTTCAAATTCCTCTCTGGACATTACGGGTGGACCAGGTGGTGGTCGAGCATTGAATCCCATTGCTAAATCTGCAAGGTCCCTGGAATCCACGAAAATATATGAAATAATCAGATATAAAATCGTACAAGAAAACATGGTTATCAATCACTGCTTGTGTTCAGCAAGCTTCACTCAACTACACAAGACACCCTCGTAATACCCGTCAAGGATGTGCATAGGAGTGTGTGTGTGTGTGCGCGCGCGTGAGTGAATGAGAGAGATCATCAGAAGGAAAGCCGAAGCACACCTCTGAGGCTGGCCACCATATGGCATCATAAACCCTGGTCCTCCAAATGGATCCTGTGGCATGACACCGCCAAATGCAACATCCATAGGACCGAGCCCATAACCCATATAGGGCATATGACCATTATACGGAGGCATGAACCCATCCATTCCAGGTTGCATGCCTGTCCAGTATGGATTAAAAGCGGAAGGGCCGAAAGGCATCATATAATTCTCTGCTGCAACGTCCTGGCCAGCCCACTGCATATCTGCTGCTGCAGGGCATTCCAAGATTTTAACAAAATTCTTTATCATTAAAATACTAAATTTATATTATACCCAACTATTATATTGGGGAAAATCCCATCCACAATAAACCTAAAAATAAACATTTCAATTTACTGCAAATAAGGACTGGACTCAAATTATAAATATACCATTAGGAGGCATACGAATTTTCTTCTTTTTCTTCTTCTTTCCTGTAAAGCAAAAGAAAAATATACATATGAAACGGATCAGCCAACCTCAAGTAAAAAGCAAAAAATACCATTATTTTCCAATCTTATCCTATTAGTTGATGTACACAACGTGCAAAAGGGGGAGAGTAGGAGGCAACATCACTAGCATCGTCACATTCACTATCAAGTACAATAACTATAGTAATGCATATTCATCAATTACCTGCCTCCCCAGACACTGGCTTCTCCTGCGCTTCTTCATCAGCCAATGGACGACGTCCAGGGGATGCTTGTTCCTTAACATTTAATGACCCATGTGTAGCTTCTGAAATGTCCGGTACTTTTATTCTCGCTTCCTCCTGATTCTGTGGAGCATTCACAGCTTTGCCCTCTTCAACAGTTTCTGCAATTTTTGAGGTCTCTTCCTTTTCAGGCGGCAATGCAGGCACTTGCTGTCCTTTCGAGGCAGCAGATTGTGTGGGGGATGGAGCCATAGCCTGTGGATTCCGTGACTCCATGTCTGGAAACCAAAATGATGTCACAGGTAGAATGATTATAGTAAAGGAGAAAATTAATTCAATATAGAACTTACCTTGGACTTGAAATACACTCCCACCATTTTCACCACTGCTATTATTGGACTCTAAAATTCTGTGAATAGTTTCCCTTACTGTCTTGTTGGGCAAAAGATCATCCGCAAGAATATTTGTGGCTCCACAGACACACATTGATTTAGAAATGATGTGATCCCTTATACCTAAAAAAAACCAGAAATCTGAAAGACATGAGAAAACAAGCATTTTCAGAACACCTCATAGCTGTGTAAAAAGAGAACGCACGCCTTCCTTCCCCCAATACTAACGCACAAACTCCATGCTACCCATTCCCACAAAAGTGAAGGAACAGAAGAAAATGTGGTTCCATTCAGACGGCACATGACAATGAGACAGCAAGAAATCAATATTACAGTAGAAATGAAGCATAGTTTGTGACTACAGCTATAGATAACTTACATTTATCACAAAAGCTTTTAAAACAACACTTGCTCGTAAGCACAGCATCTTTCATTACTTCTTTACACAAGGGGCAATGTAGTTCTGGTGGAAGATCACCAACAGAACGCGTTGATGGCATTCCTTCAATCTCTTTCTCAAAGGCAGCCCTGTAATAACCCCCAGCTATAAAAAAAATTCTTCATGCCAACAATTAATGGCATAAATTGGAATAATGGAATTGAAAAACCATACTCGTTTGGCTTCAAAACTGCAACAGCCCCACTAGGTAATGCATAAGAACCATCTGGAGTAGCCATTAACATAGACTTTGGAATTCCAGTAGGAGGTTTCACCCTTTTGATGTCAAAATTAGGATCCCCATTTGTTGGGCAGTGCTGAATAAAATGCCCTAAATAGAAGGATTTTATAATTTAGTGCCTGTTTTGGATTCTTTAAAAGTTGCTTATTTGATAAATTAATAGAAATGAGTGGTGGATAAGTACAAAATGTGTGGCTAAAAATTAAAGTTTGACAAACTTAAATTATAATTTAAGGAAATCCAAAGATACTTTTAGTAAGATATCCTTAAGAGCATACTTTTCACAAATTTAAGAATAATCTTTCCTTAGTCCCACTCGATATAAATTAATCTGCATCGTAGCAGATAAATGAACGTACCAGGTACCTTGCACCTGTGACATATATAGCCTTGTGGTGGTGTTTTCCGATCCAATATGCCTCGTCCTAAGGAATCAATAATAACTTTCAGTTTTCATAGAGTTTGTAGAGGACAAAACTAAAAGAATGAATAAAATCATTTAACAGAGTTGAAGTCCCGAACAGTAAGTCAACAGTTAAAACATTTTGATATCTTCCAGAGAAAGAACCTAGCAACTTTTGCACTATTCTACTAATGTTCTTCATCTCCAATAAATGGCTTCCAAAGGATAGAGACCCAGGGAAAATAATATTATTTTATAATTGAATGAAAACAAAGACAGGAGAGAAGTTAAAAAGTGATAAGAGAATCACCAAAACCACGGCCACCCATCATTCTTCCACCCATGCCCCGTCCAAAACCTCTACCAGGACCAAAGCCATCAGAAGATTGACTGCAACCACAACAATTACAACACCTAAGCCTAACAAATCAACTAGTAGAAAACACTCTTGCCAAAGTGTAGTAACACCACAAGAGGACTTCTCACCGCTGCCAATCTAAAGTTGGAGTGTCAATCAAAGCCTTGATCTTCATATCCTCGTCCTCTTTGCTGGTAGGTGGAGCATCCTGAACTGGATTGCTAGACTGTACGGGCAGCGTTTCAGGAATCGCATATAGATCATTTCCAAATTCATCCCATTCAAAATCCTCAGCCTTCAAGGACCAAGAATTGAAATTTTACAACATTTAGTTACTTGAACTGACACAACATTGTTATATCCAAATTCTTTTTCTATCCAAAACTAAGATTTTAAGATTCATCTTGACAAAATAGCTAATTAAAGCTTACATATTTCACAGCAGATGGATCCAATCCAGCAAAGCCAATTTTTACAGCTCGAACATCCTCGGAATTATTTTCCACCTTTGACCTACAGTTCAGATAAGAAAAGCTCAAGAAACCCTGGCAAATTCATAGAAATGCTGGGAGTGTAACTTTTATCTTTTCCATGACCTTTTAGTTTATGCAGGACATCTTTCAAGTCTTTTATTTTTGGTAGAAGTTTAAAAGCTCAAAACACCACCAACGGGTTCTACAAACTACTACAATAAGTGGGTTTTAGCTTTTAGACAATTATATAGTAGTTCAACACTTTCTATCCTCCAAAAAAAAATTTTTTTCTCACAAATGTTCTCCATGAGAAAATTAAACAAATTAACAAAGTTAAAAGGATTGAGACAATACTCTTCCAGTTTAGTAACCGGTGCAGTAACTATGGGCATGCGAGGCCGTCCAGGAACTCGGCGTATTAAAACTGAAGTATTTTTGGGAATTAACATCCCCTCATCAAGATACTCTGAAATTACAAATTACAGAACAATGAAGTCTATGAAAAACCTGCAAAACTATATAATTTACAAGCAAGAAGGCACACAACTACATTTAACCCCCCCAAAACACATATCCCATAGTCATTTGACTCATTATCCAAAATGTTAACATTACTACCACACACAGACCGTATACTGATCTCCCATTAAACAGGAAGCAAAACCCTGTAGTTTTAATACCAGCAACCCCTAACTTCACCATGAAAATAATTGTGCCATATCACAAGAATTACAAGTTCCAATTCTCAATATATTCATCTCGAAGTGCTTTCTTCGAGAATTCAAGGCAGATTCTATATGAACATCCTTTAAAATACTGCTAAATCACAGTGAAGGAACCAACTCTTCAATGAATGAAATACGCATACTTTGTGCAATCAACTTAAAATTTACAATACTGGAACATCCGAATTCCATTTCTTTTTGCTTATGTAATACAGTCTAGAAATAAAAAAATCACATGGGAAAACTAATGACAAAACCATAAACATCAATAAAGTCTACACTCTTTACCTTGTGCCTAGCCACACTTGAGGACACAAATCTAAGAACCATAAGTTATATGACTAGCTTTATTCAAAGTATATAATCACCAATTAGATGGCTTTCAGCAATAGCATACAAGACGTTGTAGAGAAACTGGTTGCATTCAAAACTACATAGAAGAAAGTTCAATGATCATAACCTAAATGGCTCGTAGTTGTACTATTATCATTTAAAATACAATAAATCTGAGGCTGTCATGACACTGAGAGGAACTGTAATAATTAACACGCCCACAATTTGTTTTAACGACTTACAAGTCTAAAAAAAATTCTTATAGAATCAAACCAACCTTCATTAGTCTGGGCGTTGGTGATAAGGAGGTCAAAATCAGTACCCTTGCCCAAATGCTTTGATTCAAATATTTTTTCTTTCAAGTGTCCAACGGAAATAAAGTGCCCATCAATCATAACCGAATCGTAATCCTTTGCACTTTTAAATTTATAGTACACTGCCATGTTTACTTTTTTTTCTTGCTTTCAATTTCTTTTTTCTTCTCTAAAATGAAAACATTAACAAGAGATGTAAAGGCCGTCAAATACAAAACTGTAGGCCTCGCATTCAACTCAAACAAGAGAACAAAACTAACATGAAAAGTACAATGGAAATCTAAGATCGTTTATCTCTTTTTTTTCTTTGCCAGGAACTCGAGAGATTCAAACCCACAAATATTGCACTCGCACTCCTCCGCAAATCCAATCGCCTTCTAAATCTTTCAAATATTCAGCAGCAGGCAGGAATTCTTCAAACTCCACCGCAAATCCTCAGACGAGACGCTTGACTATCTGGATCTGACCTCTAAGCTCTACTCCCGGATCAGGTACTATATAGATCTCGCAGATCCGATGCCGATGAAAAGACTAATGCGTCCTCTTCTTTAAACGGAAAATCGAACCGCCGCGCACAAGAAACGTCGACACCGGATTCCCGATGAGACAAAAATTCCTCCGAACGGCTTCAGATCGTATGATTCCCCGAAAAGCCTCGAACAAACACCCAAATCTTCGGCAACCGCACGCGAACTCAACAAAGAGTATGAAATAGCGTTCTTTCTCGTTAACGTAGCAGCTAATCCACTCAACCTTTGAGAGCTGACCCAGAAAACGCAAAAACAGTAGAAGAATCTTCAATCTACAGACTCGCGGAGAGACGATAAGATTAGGGTTTCAAGTGTTGAGATAAAAGGAATATCTTATAGTAAAAAAATAGGAATTTTTTAATGATTTTGAGGGAAAATCTAAAGATCAGGTGTTTATAGAGACGGTGGAGTCGGTAATTACACAAAAAGCTCAACGCGTTTTTATATTCAACTTCGCTCAAAGCGTGTTTAACGGACTTGTATATGAATGTTTACCCAACACTGAACCGGTTTTTTAAACCCAACACTGAACCGGTTTAATGTCTTCAACGAAGTATTTCACCAAACATTTGAGGAGAGTATATTCAATTTGGACCGTTAAAAAGGAAATTAAAACTAAAACCTTTTGAAGTGAATGCCTTTTGTTAGTGGACTTCTATTGACTTTCAAAGAATGGGTACTTACAAAAATACCCTTAAAATTATGGGTGTTTTGAAAAATCATGTGAAAGGTTTTTAGGAAATAAAAAATACTGTGTAAAATAAAAAAGTGACACAATGTCAATTTTTTTATAAAAATTGTCACTTTTTTAAAAAAATAAAAAAAGTGACATAAACTCAAAAAAAGTTACACATTTAAAAAGTGATATAAACTCAAAAAGTGACAAATACTTAAAATTGTAACAAAACACCAATCAAAACATATGTTTGTTATAAAAAAAAAGTAAGAAATTTTTAAAAAGTAACAAACAATAAAAAGTGAAAAAAATTCAGAAAAGTGGCAGGAAAAAAGTTACAAACACACAAAAAAGTAATAAAATTGTCACTTTTTTTAAAAAAGTGACACTGTCACTTTTAAAAGTTTTGTGTCATCTTTTTAAAAAGAAACAAAGAGATGTCCGTTTTTAGATAGTTATGACGAGTGTAAATAATAAAAAGATTACATATTTATGATCAAATCTGTTAAATCTATTATACAAGCTTAAATTCAAGAAACATTAAACATGACAGTGGAGATTTATTTAATCGAAGCATTGTTTATTCCTTTTGACACAATTGTAGACTCTTCTCAATTTATAAAGTGATAAAAATTTAATAAAAAGTGACAAACACTAAAAAAAACACAAATTTAAAAAAGTGACGAATACTCAAAAAAAAAAAAGTGACAACATTATGTCTTCACCATTTATTACTATGAAACTTTCAAAATGGTAAATTCCAATTGAGACATTTTGTCAAACACCTTGATAGTATCTTAGAAAATCAAAGGGAAAGAGTTTACCATAGTTTTGGAGCTAATTCCAATTTTAATGACAATTTTTTTATGCATTTATACACAAACTCATCACAATCTATGCCCAAACATGCTTCAAATATAAATGAATGAAAAAACTACTCAAATTCAAAGTTCAACCTCAAAAACAAAGTTTATTCAATATTACCTTCAAATCCATATGAGTGTATTTGTTCTAAAAACATAAGTTACGTAACCATTTTAAATTGTTATAAACACCAGAACCGTTGGCTGTGGGCGGACCAATATTTTTATAACAATAATCAGCCCCCACCCCTCCAATCATGTAACAAAAAATTAAATAAAAATAGGAACCTAAAATGCAAAATAGGCAATGGACGTAGCATCGTGGACGTATGCATCAGAGTGCAGAATTCAAATTCACGGGCACAATTATATTAGAATATTTGATGGTCCACCAAACTAAGACAAGTTTGGATAATGAAATGAACTTGACAATTAGCATTAGGTGATGAGGGTCTCTCTCTGGATTTGTCTGGAACAGGAACTACTGGTTTGAGTTTTGGGTGGTTTTGTAATTCTAGAACGTATTAATTACGTTAATTATATGATTTAATTAGTTAATAGGGTATTAATCAAATTAGTTAATTTTTTAGAGTATTGCACCTAATTTTCCCTTCAAAGAATTCTACGTACCTTCACTAAAACTCTCACGGGCTTTTAATATGACTTTTAGGGGATGTTTGTTTTTTATTTGAGAATTGATTCTCAAATCAATTCTCATTTTCAACCACACATTTTTCAATAAAATAATATTTTCCATCACATCAATAAATTTTTCTTCTTTTTTAACCACACATTTCTCCTCATATTACTATTCAAAAATCAATTCTTCGCCCCAAAAATCCCTACCAAACAAGCACTTATACTCTTACAAAATCAATAAAAAAAATTCACAGACTTTCACCTAGGGTTTGCTTGGGAGTTTTTTCATAGATTTTTGGATGACATCATTTACGAATGATTGGAAAAATCAGGGATTGCTTGTTTTTTTAGACACCAATTTTGGATAGTTTTAAATCACATAAAATTAATGTATTGTAATTTTGACTGGTTCTCTCAATCCATCAAATCTACGGGTTTTGATCGTTTCTCATATTCTCTTGTAATTTTACCCTTTATAAAATAATTATTTTCCATCAATATATTTTGTTTAAAACTAACTTGTAAATAAAAATATATTAACTAAAAAGGCTATTTATAAGAGAAAAAATATATTATAATTAAATAATTAAGATAAAAAATATTTTTAAAAAAATATTACTAATAAAACAAAAATTCACTTATAAAATATAAACAATTACATATAAGTAAAATATATTTATGTGTAAAAGTTAAGTAATTAACTTATAATTATAAAGTCTACTTATAAGTAAAAAAATACTAAATTAAAATTTTTAAGTATTTAATTTTATTTAATATTTTAAATTAAATATTAACTTATATGTGAAAAATTACTTATAAGTAAAATATCACTTATAAATAAAAATTTTATACAAGAAACTATAAATTGAAAATTTTATTAAGGGACATATAATTTTATTCTTTTAAAATAATTTTCAGAATAGAGGAATAATAAACTCATAAAAATGGGTTAAATTATTTTTAAAAACTGCTACTAAAATCACTCAAAATCAGTTCACTTATAAACGTTCAAAATCGGTACTTTACAAATGCTCATAATCAATACCTCAAAACTCCCATGCACGCCCTAAGACTTTTATAGGGGATAATTACCTAATTGATAACTGAACTTTATATAAAGTTTTCAAGGGGTTATTAAACTTCAAAGGTTCTTTATTAGTCACTGAACTTTACAAAATATAGTTCCTTCCATTATACGTGATGAATGAGATTATATTTTGTAAAGTTTAATGACTAATAGAAAAACTTTTAACATTCTCAATGATGGATGAGAATAAATTTTGTAAAGTTCAGGGACTAATAGAAAATTTTTTTAAGCTCGGTGATCTCTTAGAAACCTTATGCAAAGTTCAATGACTAATAATGTAATTTATCATAAATTTGGAACTTTTTAGGGCAAAAGAAGATTGTTTAAATGGGAAGATTGTAAGGAGGTATTTTTTATAAATTCACCAAATACTATTAAAAATAAATGTTTCCGTACTTAAATAAACAAATTTTGTGTGAAATGAAATATTCTATAAACAATCATGTTTGGTGTACATCATGGTCTACACATTTGTATACATCATACCACGTGTCATTATCTCATTTGACAGTTTTAAAAAAAAACTATTTTTTATCCACTTATTTTTGAAAACACATCAAATGTCAACATCAAACTTTGACCTTTTCAGGGTTCGCTTCCATGTCTCTTTGATTGACGATGTAACACAAGAACTTTCCTGAGGCAACTCCAAAGGCACACTTTAAAGGATTGAGTTTCATCCGGTATCTTCTCAAAATTTGGAATGTTTCATTAAGGTTCTTAACATGATCCCCTACTTTTAATCTCTTCACTAGCATGTCGTCCACGTAGACCTCCATGATTTTCCCAATAAGGTCGGTGAACATTTTATTGACTAATCTTTCGTAGGTAGCTTCGACGTTTTTCAGCTTGAAGGGCATGATCTTGTAGCAATAAAGACCATTGTCTGTGATAAAGGAGGTGTGCTCCTTATCTGCTGGGAACATAGGGATTTGATTGTGCATACCATCGCTCCCATCACTCCCAATTATTATGCATACCAATTCTTAGTTTCATGGATGCATATTCTAGATACAATCCCTTTGTGGGTACCTATGGTAGGGCTGGTGCTAATGCATTTCAGCATCTGGGTTCATTTCTTCATAAGCCAAAGTCGGTACTGCATTAAGTGTTGCTACAACTAGTGCTTGTCCATGATTAAGAGGTGACTGGTGATCCATCAAATGGGAGGTAAGACCTCTTCTCCATTGCATCTAAGGAGGGAAAAGTCCCTGGTTGACCTTGTTCCTATGATCTCTCAATTCTTTATTGAGGATTTCTCGTCTTATTATTTCTAATAAGGCATCATAGGTAGTAGGGTCCTTATTTTACACGTCTCTCCAGAAGAGAGAGTT